CTGGTGCATGTTAAGAGATGATAGTTGCTTTCTGTTGTAGCTTGACATCTCATGCATATTGGGTTGGGATACTTTCCCAGATTCTGAGTATGTTGAACTTCTCTGGTTAGTAGTTCTTCTAATAGGATTTTTAGTTTAAACGCTTTAATCCTTGAGTATTTGGGGTTAGTTTGCCATGTCGTTAGTTCGCAGTTGTAATTTATATAACTATAGAATGCTTGCCAATCTGTATTTTGTTTTATGGGATCCCAGCATTGGAGTCTTGATTGTAATTGCCAGTGTGCTATGTGTGATGCATTGTGGATATGTCGTATAAAACGCTGAGTATTATGTTTGATAGGAGTGTAGTGCCATGCAAGTTGTTGTATGTCGTATTGTATTCCTATGTGATCAATTTCTCCACTGAGTTTATAGCTATTTTGTTTGGCTGTAACGGATATATTGCTGTTGTATTCGAAAATGTATTTATTCTCATTTCTTGTTGTGAGTGCCTTCCAGGATAGCCAGCTTGGCCAGTCTGTTGTATTATATATTTCATATATCATGTGGGGCGGAGCTGTTTGAACTTTGTCTGCCTGCATATTAAAGTAGTCTTTGTTTGTCACAATTTTAACTTTAGCTTTTTTAGGTATTATTAAGGTTGTATATATAAGAGCGGTTATTAAATTTTTCATGGTGGTTGGCCATTCTTGTGTTGAGATTTGCATCTGACAGTCAATAGCTGCTGCCTGGCATATGACTACCTCTTGTTGAGTACTATCTGTTGCCTGATGGTAGGGTAGTAGATAGAAGGTGATCTCTTTTGGGCTTCGGAGCTCATGTTTTATCTTTTCTATTGTGTTGTTAATATTCTCATTTTTTGCTATTTTTGTTGCTATGTTTGACAGTTGTGGAATTCTTCCTTTATTCTGTCTTGTTGTTAACTGCAGTTGTTTTATGTCTAGTGGGTTAATTCTTGTTCACTTTTTGCTGTCTACTTTTATGTACTGGAGGTGTGCTATGTCTATTTGTTTTGTGCATTTTACCTTTCTCAGCGTTGAGTTATTTTGATAGCATCCTAGACAGGGCTTTAATTGGTTTGTATTATCTTTGAAGATCTAGTGATTTAGGGTTGCCCATTGTGATTTCACAGATGATATTTTGCCTATGAAGTTTTTGTTCGTTGATATTTCTATTGCCCAGTTTGTTTTACTGCATAATGTTTTATTGTATATCCAGGGGTTGGGTGTTATTAGCTTGTTGTTCGATATTATGTATTTTTGTGTTATCTTTTCTCTCAATATCTTGTACCATTTAGGTTCTTTGCCCCTGGGTATTTGATTTATCATATGTGGTAGATATTTCCATTCTATCACCTCGGAATTGTTGTAAGATGTGCACTGTTCTATGTACTTTACGTTTAATTTATTTAGCTTGGTCTTTAAACTGTTTGGTTTTGTGAAGTTTTTGAGCAGCATATTAATTGATATTCCTTCTTCATCCAATGCTTTCGGCCATTTATTGTTGTGGTTGTTGTAAAACGTTATATATATTTGTTGTTGATGCTGTAGCATTTTTGCCGTGGAAGTATTATATTCACTTTGTGGTAGAGTATAGTCATGGTGCTCGAGAATTGATTTGTTGATCATTGCTGCATTTTGTATTTGTTGTAACCGGACCTTTAATATTAACTGATCAAAGTTTCTATGGTTAAGTTGTCTGTAGATTATTGCGATGTGTTGTTGTACTTGAGTATTGGATACGGTTCTGAGACTATAAATTTAGTGATGGTAGAGTGTTAAGTTTGGGATAGTTTGTGCCATCCCAGCCTTGTGCTTTATTATTGTTGTGTATTGGCTAGTAATTTTATCACATAGTGCTGTGGGTAGCACGATGTTTTGGACTTGATAGGCTAATCTTGTTAGGATAACTGTATTCACTATATATATCGCTTGCTTATCAGTTATCTTTGCCCGTTCTATTCTTCTAATTGCATTTGTTGCTTCTTCTTGAATAATTTTGATAGTTGGTTTTTGATTCTTTGTAATTGTGTACCAATATCCCAGAATGCGGAAGCTCTCCTTTGGGTTCTGTGCTTTGATTACTGAGTTGTTAAAGATAATGCTTGGCTGTTGGAGTTGTGTGTTAGTTACTGCTAAAACTGATTTTTGTGGATTAACTCTTATATTTGTTAGTGCGAAGAAAGATGAAGCTATGTTGATTATTTCTCATAGTTCTTCTTGTGACTGGGCCAACCAGACAGTATCATCCATATATGCGATTGCAGGCCAGTTTATTGTTAGTTGCTTTTTACTATTATTTTCTCTATAAGTAACATGCATTGTATATCCAGTTAATTTCTTATATATAGTTGTTAGTAGCAGATCGTAATAAATGCGCCATAATAATGGTGCAATTGTTTCTTCTTGATCTATCCCGTCGTATACTGGGTAGGTATCAGTATTGCCTAGATTTGTAATAACAGAATGTATCGATTAGTAAATATATTTGTTATGAAGGAGGCTATCTTATCCGAGACTTTTATTCTTGCTAATACTTTTTTTAGTAAGGGGATATGAATAGAATCGTAAGCTTTAGACATATTCTGGCTGAGTAGCCATAGCTCTTTTTTGTATACATGGGCATCTTCAATTATATGTGTGATTGTTGAGATAGGTAATTCAGTGAAGTGTTGGGTAGAGCCACGTGGTTGCTTTCATGCAAGACAGGATATCTATTTAGTTTTTGGTTTAGTTGTTTTGTCAGAATTTTGGTGAATATCTTTCTTGTGTGTTCAATTAAAGTAATAGGCCGAGTCTTATTTAGTTGTCCTGAGAATCGCTGCTTTTTAGATATCGGGTATATGTTTTTTTTTTTCCAAGATTTAGGAATAGTTTGTAGATTTATATAGCCATTGAAAATAGCCAGTATTTTGTTTTTTGTGTGTAGGTCTATGTGTTTTAGCATTTCATTAGATATCGATTGAGGGCCTGTTGCTTTTTTCAGAGGGGCCTCCTTGATACCTTCTTCTAGTTCCTGCATTGTTAT